AAGCCTTGTTGCTACTAGTCCCCTTGCGACGCTACTCTGTCTAAGGAGTTGGTATTTAACCGAGCTTCGTCTCGACCAACTTTCCTGGGAGTATACCTAATAATTATCTATCATGTGTTGGTTTAATTTCTTTGTTAGGCTTTAAATTCCCCTTTTGCCAAGTGATTACAATTTTAGATTAATTAAAGAGCAGCCACATGCAGCATTTTTAATTTACTAAAAATTGACTATGGTTTAAATTACATAAAGATTGGCAATGATAATTGTCTAGTGATCTTATCATTTTAATGAGTTGGGGAGTAGCCACAGCATCCTTAATTAGTTAAAATTATATATTAAGCAGTTTATCTTGATCACATACAGTTTTGGACATATCATTTGTGATTAATTGTATGTAATATGATGGAATTTAGCCCACAGGCAATTTTGTTATATTTGTATAGTTAATCAGGATGAAATACTGGACTACAGTCATAATTTAGCCCACAGGCAATTATGTATCGGAATGTAGTTTAGTAGTTTTATCGGCGATGATAGAAATAAATCAATTTTATTTACTTTATGGTTATTTGTAAATAATTCCCATCTCTATTATAAAGTTTAATTTTATGATGTAAACTTTAGATCATATTTCTTAATTTACCCACAGGGATTAAGGAAAGGAACATGATTTCTTAAGTTTTTATCATAATAGTTGTAATGAATCTTATTGAGTAAAACTTTAGCCTACAGACAAGTTTTATGTCACTTGATTCTTCAACTTATTTGATAATTGTTTCATCATAAAATTTCAGTTGGATCTAATTGAGTAAAACTTTAGCCCACAGGCAAGTTTTATGTCACTAGATTCTTCTGTCTATTTAGTAATTGAGATAAAATATTATCATAAGGGTTTAGTTGGATTTAATAGAATTAAAACTTTAGCCCACAGACAAGTTTTATGTCAATAAATTCCTCAACCCACTAGATAATAATTTTATTACAATTTCTTAGAATTTATAAATTTAGTTTATTTATAATTCTAAGTTTCATGGTTTGCATTGGCAAAACATGTATTCAGTCACTTCCTAAAATTTAGCCACTCTTATTAATTGTTTCACTAAGCTTACTTGGTTATTTGGATCAACTATAGTAAGTTATGTGATGTGATATACCTCTTTTGGATTCCAAGACTAAAATGTACCTTTTGAGCCAAATTCTAACTTGGTTTTGGAAGGTGTGTTTTATTATTTTAGTATGTCCAACTAATGGTGGGGAATTAATATCTTCATTATTTAGTTGGAATTTAATTGGAACCAAAAATTGATTATTTAGTATGTCCAACTAATGGTGGGGAATTATGTCTTCATTTGTTAGTTGGTCAAATCAATTACGAGTACGTATATCATTAATTTTGCTAAAGAATATCTTAATCAGTGGGAGTGATCATTTAGAAAAAGATCATTAAGATACTCCATAATCAGTGGGAGTGATCATTTAGAAAAAGATCATTAAGATACTCCATTAAAAATTTTGGATTTAATTGACTTCATGCATCCCGTATTGGATTGTATGTAAAACAATAAGTCCAAAAGATTCCACAAGTATTAATATTGTATTTATTCATATAAATTCATATTGGTTTAGCAACATATTTATGAAAAATGTTGTAACAATATTGAGGAGTTTATTAGAACAAAACATATAACTTGTGGTGCACTGTTAAGTAATAAATTCTTCAGCACGCATTTAATAGTCTTTAGTTTCTTCAAAATTGATCCTGGGCCATTTTGGTTTGTAAGGCTCAAGACAATTTTGAGAAACATAAAAGTAAGACTCATAATGTTCAGTTCATTTTGAGGTGGACCTTAAAGATTATTTGGGAAGTTATGGTGTATGTTTAAGATTCCAAATTTATGTACTTAGAGTTTTGGTTTATTGTCTAAGTTATTGGAATGCTTCTGTGACTTGACTATCTTTTGGCTATTTTGATGAGTGGGAGTGACAGACGTGTCAACTCCAAGCTCTTAGCCGTTAGAGGTAGTACTTATGTTAACTTATAAAGAAGTTATGGAATATATAGTTAGCATATGCTAATTAAGAGATCTCTACTTAAGGCATGCTTTTAAGGATATTAGAGATCATACAATGTACTCTTTTGTACAATTTGGATGATTTTCTCTCTTAAGTTGCGCATATACATTTTATTTTGAGAAACATCCCTTCAGGTACCAAGAATAAACATTGGGTTTGTTCATAAAGGATTCAAGTTGGGGAATCAAATATGCATGTGATCATAGGAGATATTACTCACTTATTCAGTAGAGGACATATTACTATGATTCGTGTGTTTTGTTCTTTAATGCGAATTGTGCTATTACTTGCACCAAGTGGGAGACTGTAAGACTTTCCCGTATAATATATATTATATATTATGGGTCTTACTTATGTGGTGCAAGTGGACTAGGCCCATTAAGTAATTGGTTGGGTTGGACCTTTAGGTTTAAGTCTTATATCCACCAATGTGCCTATATAAAGCTTGTATTGATGGGATACAAGATACATGAATATTATATGGTACTCATACTGCTCAGAAAATACCAGTACACCATCTAGGGTTCTGAGTTAAGTATGAGACAAAACGGCTAACCCTATTCTGCAGATCTACCGTTCAAGAGGCAACACAACATGATATCAACCATGGCTGGAGATCTACAATGCTTCCGCTGCTACGAGTTAAGTTTCTCGTAGATTATGCTTTGTATATTTAAATCTCACACTCAAGTCTTATTTTCTCTACTCTCTTCTATCTTTAATTCTGGGAGTTTACCCTTGCTTGAAAAGGGCCTCTTGATTCAACTTTCGGGTTGGTTAGTGTGAGTGGTTGACACGGTAGCTACCGCAACTAGTGATACCGCAGGCAAAGGTGATTATGAGAATAGGGAAGAAGTGGTCATGCATGATGTTGAATCGCGCTGGAGGCTTTTTCATGCGCTTTGACTTGCGAGATTCAACATCATGCATGACCACTTCTTCCCTATTCTCATAATCACCTTTGCCTGCGGTATCACTAGTTGCGGTAGCTGCCGTATCAACCACTCACACTAACCAAGCTGTTTAGTCATGGTTGTCATTTAATATAGCTAGGGAAGACAACCGGATAGTCATCTTTAAGGGGTGTTTATATTTTTTTACTTGTCCAATTCATCTAATATATCGTGTCAAATCATCATCATCTTTTTTAAAAAAATATACGTCAAAGTCTAATAAAATTAGTGGTATGTATCATTTAGACTCAATTGAACCCCACCCTCGGCCCCACCCCCCACCCCCACCCCCTCAAGTTGAACGGAATTGATGATTTCTTTTTTAACAATTAGACTATTCGCTTACTTACTTAAAAGTTTATTTGACAATTTTTCTTAAATCAGATTAAATAGAAATTTAGTCCCTAACTAAGGATTAATTAGCTAGAAAGCCTCTATCTTAACCAATAGACTTAACTTATTGTAATTTAATTGTTGAGCTAGAGTCCATATATATTATTTGTGTGGTTAGATCTTCTGAATTAAGGAAAACCACCAATATATATATATTACACACAAATCCAAAAATGTCGATTATCAATCCATAACTCAAATTTGCATTCTTGCTAATTGGGTCCCACCCAAATTTGATCCGTATGTACATTGTGGTTTGTGGCACTAACATTTTTCTAAATATTTAATTTTGTGGTTCTCATTTTCCACTGTCTTTATCCTCATTACATTGTCCAAATTTTGATTGCAAAATGATGTGTATAGATACTAGGAGTATTTTCTTTGGGAATGCTTATAGAGTTATTGCTATAATGCTATATAAATTGTAAATAAATAAGTTATAATTGTGAAATTTTAATTATGGATTATCATTTACTATATATTTTTTTTTTAAAAAAAAATGTGTTGCAAGGAAATAAAAGTTTGCAAACTATGCGTGTAAAGCTAAATTATTCAATTTATAATTTCATATTTTTATAAAACAAACTTTTCTAAACACACAAGTGTATCAAAGTCCAATCCTACATAAACAAATTATGGTTAAAAATTTCGTTCTTTAACTAACGTGAAACAAAATTATAAAGTTGTTACTTGATCTAATGTTGGCTTGAAATGGGAAATTTGCATTGCTTTTAGTCTTTTTTAATTGTGCAATTTTAGCAATGGTAGAATGCACCTGTAGTTTTATATAAAAAAAATTTTGAATTACTTCATTTTACAAAAGACAAAATTTCTTCGCCCTATGGCTTTACATGTACTTCCGCTCAATAGGATGTCGGAAGAATAAATCAGAGTACGTAACTGTAGTGGCCTCTTAGCTGGAAGGTAAACATTACCTACAAATTAAATCTTACATAGTTATAATATAAAATAATCATATAACTTGATGAAGTAAAGTTATATAATATTATCATACTTAAAGTAATACTCCATATTACATAACTTAAATTAAATGCACCGTACCCTTAATGATATAATCATGTAATCATTCTGAACAATTCATAAATCATAATCTCTTTCATCGATCGTATCATGAAGTACAGTATATCAACTATCAAGTAATCGACATGAACATTTATCAACAAGCTAAGCTGCCAACCCTATACATTGCATCTATCCACCATCATTATTTATTAGTTTCAAAAAATACAACTAAATATGACTATAAATTTATTTTGTGAATAAAAAAAAAAGTATTTCGTTACTGGTCCATAATCAGGTGAGAACCAATCCTTTGAATTACAAACTTGTGAAAGATTGCACCACACCCGAATACAATTGCACCGCAAGGTCCTTCACGCATGTCTAAGAGCCATAACAGTGCAATTATATAGTAATTGCGGTGCAATACTTTACAAAACTGATTAGAAATCTTTCATTAATATTGCATTTTAAAACTTGTATTGATTTGCATAAAATTAAAATAATTTTTATCAAATGAAGCAATAATCTTGGAACACTGAATTTCATTATATTTATGGTTTATCCTTTCCGATGACCAATCAATGAATGCAGACCAAAAATGAAGAGCCACGCGTCGTTTCAAGAACCATACAACTACAATCTTGCCAAATTCTCTTCGCCCAAATAATACCAAATTATTCTAACCAAAAACGACATATCTACTCTATCCTCCAAACTCAAACACTAACTAACAAGCCTCGTCGGAAAACCAAGAAAAGGCAAGATGGGGTGCGCTTCTTCCAAGAGAATCAAGGCCACCGTCGACGTGTACCGTCCGCCGCCGTCCAGTTTCGCCGTGTTCGATGTCAACGACGTGGAGGAGCCGTGGCTGATGAATGGCAAGGCTGCCGGCGACATGCAAGACGATGATGATGATGAGAAAAAGAAGGAGGCGGAGAAGATAAAGGCGGTGGCGCACGTCCCGCCGCCGTTGCTTGAGAAGCTCAACTCCATTGAAGAAGCTCCTCGCTCCTGGGATGAGGTCAGCAAGGCCTTGGAAGACCTCAAGCCCACGTTAAACTCCACTGGGCTTCCGCCGGCGGTTCAGAACACCAAAGACGCCGTTACTCCGCCGCCAGCGGCGGCGGAAAAAAAGCACTCGCCGCCTAAGCCGAAAAAGAGCTCTTCGTTTCATACCGTGGAAGAATTGGACGCTAAACTCACGCCAAAACCGGCGGGGCTGACAAAAACCGAGTCCATGAAGGTAGAGTTAAAGAAATCCCAATCTCCGGCCACCGAGTCACAGCCCGGTTCGACTCGGACAGAAGGGTTCAAGTCAGTAAAGGATAACATATTCCTGGTACGCGACAGAATGGAGAAGGAAAAAGACGGAAAACCCGCCGCCGCATTCATCAAGCGGGACCCACTTAGCGACTTCCCGGAGAAATGCCCGCCGGGAGGGGAAACCACGGTGGTGCTCTACACAACCTCCTTGGGCGGCGTCCGCCGCACCTTCGAGGACTGCAACAACGTAAGGGCCATCCTGGAGTCCCACCGCGTGGTGTTCGACGAGCGCGACGTGGCGTTGCACGGCGAGTTCCGCGGCGAGCTGAGAGAGCTGCTCGGGGAGGGGTTCGGCGGCGTGCCGCGGCTGTTCGTGAAGGGGAGGTACGTCGGCGGGGCGGAGGAGGTGGTGGGTCTCAACGACGCGGGTCGACTCGGGAGGATACTGAGTTGGGCACGAGTTGAGAGGGGTGTGGGGAATCAGGGGTGTGAAGGGTGTGGTGGAGTAAGGTTTGTGCCGTGTTTGGATTGTGGAGGAAGTTGTAAGATTGTGAATGGGGACAAGAAGGAAAGGTGTGGGGAGTGCAACGAAAATGGATTGGTTCAATGTCCTATTTGCCATTAATAAGGTAGCTATTATTTTCTCAAAATACTGCTTACTGAAATAGTGAACTAAACTCGCATGGACATAAGATAGTTATTTTGTAATTTGCTCTGGGCTTGATATGCACAATTTTATCTTAGCTTTTATTAAGCATGCATAAATAATACCAATGTAAATCAAGAAATATATATGTTTTGGGTATTTTAAAGTGCTATAGTGCTTCTCTTGTGTTGCAATTATCATTAGTGTAAAAGTTTTATTTGCTCATATTTTTGTGTCAAACAAGATGATATTCAATCTAAATGTGTTTAATGCAATTGTAATGCAAGCTGGACACAGTTCCAGAGGCTATTTGGCAATTTTGGAGTAACGTGTCATTAGTGGCATCGTTTTTCTCCACCAATCATAATTTTTATTAAAATAAATAAATTGTCAAAACAACTTAGCGGCATAAAAAATTGTGAACTGTGAATATAAAGTTCTACAATTGTGAATATAGAGTTCAAGAATTATTAATATAGAGTTCAAAAATTATGAACATAGAATTCTATAATTATGAATATATAGTTTAATAATTGTGAATATGGAGTTCAAAACTTATGAACATAGAGTTCAGTAATTATGAGAGTTCAAAAATTATGAATATAGAGTTCTGCAAGTGTGAATATAGAGTTCAATAATTGTGAATATGGAGTTCAAAAGTTATTAACATAGAGTTATATAATTATGAACATAAAGTTCAATAATTATGAACAGACAGACGCTATTTATGGCGAAAGATGTTTTTTTTTTAATTGACATGGTGCAAAACCACAACATTTTGGAACTGTATCCACCTTACAAGGTGGACACGATTCCACGGCATAATTTGCCAATGCAATTTGACCATGTAAGTATATGGTTACTTGCTTGATACAATTAAAAGGGGCTACTTTGGCCCAAAAGGAGTAGTCGATCGAGTAGGTGGAACATAATATTTATATTAAAAGGTTTAAGTTTGATTGTTAATACCTTTAGATCGAGTTTGACTCTAATGCTAATACCCTTTAGATTGAGTTTGACTCTAACATTCTTTTATTTAAGTTGATCTGAGTCAATTGCATAAGATAATCTTCCTAGTGCAATTTATAGGGTAGTCGTAGTAGTGAAATGGCCCATTCAAACTCAAGTTGTAGGTAAAGACATGTATTTTTTTTTTTTATTTGGTCAAAAAAGGCTTCTAACTTGGAATTGTATGAAAATATAAATTAGGTTTTGATTATTATTATTATTATTATTATTATTATTATTATTATTATTATTATTATTAAATAAATAAAATCCACCCAGAAACTTTTTTTTTTTTTTTAAATGAAAGGGATTTGAGTCCTTTAAATATGAGGTTATGAGTCCTATGGCTCTTTTTCTTTTCATATTATCTATATATTGCTTCATCATATTATTTCATTTGATCAAGTAAAAAAAAAAAAACAATCTTTAATTTGAGTTTGACCCTGGATGTATGAAAAGTAATCAAGATCTAGCTAGCAGGTAGCTAGACATTTTATTTGTCAAGAGAGGAGGATACACAGAAATAAAATAAAGGGGATTTCTTAATTGATCAAATATATGTTCAAGTCAATTTTTTTTTTCAAGTCTAAAATATTGGAGAATGTTTGTTCAACTGTTTATTATTATTATTTTTTTGGTTGCAAAACGTGTTTGTTCAACTGTTATTAATTTGAAAAGGTGAAGAAGTTGGTATTCTATATTGCACCAGTGAAATGTTCAAAAGAAATGATTGAAGTCTTCTAGCTAACTCATTGAAAACATGTTAACAATACAAAGTGATTGGAGTTATTCAACCGTGATTACATAGTGTTGTTAAGGTTTTAGCGGCGGGTTTCAATAACCGTAGGAATTAGTTTGCAATTATTTCCGGGTGGTTTTGACTTCATTTAGCGACGGTTTTGAACCGTCACAAAAATTTAGTTATTAGCACACCACCGCTAAATTATAATTTTATTTTTAAAATTGTTTTATTAATAATTGTGACATTTTCATACAATCACTAAAATTTTATTGTATTTTAACTTTTTATTTTTATGATCCTCATTAAATCAAAAGCAATATTACTAATGGGTTAAACTAGCTGAAAGAAAGCAAAATCAATAAAACATGGATCCAATTCATCAAATAGTACCGATTTGACAAAAGTTCACAGTGAAAATGACTACAAATTTAACTAACATTGCTGCATCTTGCAACTCCTTGAAAAGCAACAAGATTGAAACCAACCGGATAAGCTATGCCTCATCATTCCAACTCTCAATGCCCCTTCAATGCCCGGTTCTCCTCCTTCAATGCCCAGTTCTCCTCCTCCAACTCACGTATATAACTTTTTAGCTCCCTCGCGGCCTGCAGAGCTCTCAGTCCTACAACGTCCACCCGTTCATCCATCACCACATTGTCATGCTTCAGTTGTTTGATCTCCTTCTCCAGTTTATCAATTTCTTCTTTGTCTTTAGCTACCATACTTTCTATTTTATTTTTCTCTTGAACTACCCTACCTTCAAAGTCCTCCTTCTCCATCATCGCTCTCTCTCTCTCTCTCTCTCTGCTCCTTCACCATTTTTGCCTCGTCCACTGCAACAGTTTTCTCAGCCTGTAATTCTACACTAAGGTTGTCAAACCCTTCAATAATTTGCATCAAATCCTCGACCGATTTGTTTTCGGGGGGTTGGTAAGCCATAGTCCTTTGCAATCAATTCAGGGATCAGATCCAATTATAACAAAAAGATTATGAACAAGAAGCTTTTGGGGGCAGAGGGATGAATTTGTAGGAAGAAGAAAAAGGATAATAAAAAGTAGTTGGGAGAATTATGCTACAGCTAGCTTAGTACAGACCCTTTTTGTTGAAATTTGAATCAGTGGTTACAATTTGGACTGAATTATTATTATTTTTTAAAACTGGACTGAGCCAGCAGCAGCCAAATAGGTGAAGAAAACAACAATTTTCAAGAATGGTACACTCACAAGTCACAAGGGTGTGAGTACACAATTTTCCTTGCTAAGAATGTTTTCCTAGCAAGTAGCAACCACTATTGTTCCATGTCCATTCATAGCCATATTAGATATTAGAAACAAACATTATCCAATATTCAATTCTATCAAGTTGAAATGGACATGGAACAATAGTGGTTGGAATAGCCAATATTTGTACAAGTTGAAATAGCTACTCATCAACTAAATAGTGGTTGAAATAACCAATATTTGTACAAGTTGAAATAGCTAGTCATCAACTAAATAGTGGTTGAAATAGCCAATATTTGTACAAGTTGAAATAGCTACTCATCAACTAAGAATATGGCTCAGCAAATCAACTAAATACTAGCAAGTTCTTGGCTTGCTAAGGTCAATAGACTTACCATACCAACACAACTTCCTATGTTTGACCTGGTGTTATAAGACTAGCCAATCCTAACTATTTTTTCTAGAATTTTTCGTTTGGACAAAAATATAGAGGCTTGAGGATAATTAGATCAATAACTTCCATTGTGATATGACAACAGTCCATAATCAATTCAATAAATAAGACCTTATCATCTGCAGCAGTTAAGAGTGTTATCTTAAGTGTATTTACTTGATTTCAACAGCTGTCCAAGGAGCAGTAGCCGCCGCCACCGACTGAGGCAGCAGAAGCTGCCGCCGCCGCCGACGGAGGCAACATCAGCAGCCACCACTATCCGAGGAAGCAGCAATGGCGTCGGTAAAAATAGATTAGTTTGCACCAAAAAAAAAAACAAAAAACAAAACAAAAAAAGTAGATCTAAGTGAAAAAAGCTTACCAGAAATAGAGAAAAGACGGAATACGAAGGCGTTAGGGCTTGAGGATTTCGACGTCGGGCGGAGATAATGGAGAGTATAGTGAGAGAAAAAGGAAAGCTTGGGAGGAGAATAAGAGGATGTGTGTATATATAGCCTTCTCAACCAGTAATTCTTTATTAACGGTGTTAAACCCTTCAATTATTTCCATCAAATCCTCGATCATGCTCTTATTAGCTAAAACATTGTTAGAAAACACTTATTTAAATAATTGAAGGGTTTAACACCTTAAATAAAGAATTACAAGCTGAGAAGATGTTAAAAGCAAATTCCAGGGGTATCAGAGCCTTAAAGAAAGATTGCCAGTATCATCTTCTATTTAATTCTGATAATTGATCTATTTATTTATAATAAAGGCTCTTACTTGAGTATTATCTGTTATTACCACAAATTTGACAGGTAATAAATGTATTAAATGATAATGAAATCTTTTTATTCACAATGCCTCATTTTCATCCTCCAACTGATGTATGTAACTTCATAGCTCCCTTACCATCTTCAGAGCTTTCACTCGTATAGCCTCTCCAACTGATATATGTAACTTCATAGCTCCATTGCCATCTTCAGAGCTTTCACTCATATAGCCTCAAACCGTTAAGCTAACGTCACTTTTTAATCCTTCAACTATTTGATCTCCTCGTTTAGTTTGTCTATTTTTACTTTCTCTTGAGCCAGCTTACTTTCAACATCCTCATTTTTCATCATCACCCTCTCTATCGGCCAATTTACCATTTCGGCCTCATCCATTGTCACAATCTTCTCAGCTCGTAATTCTTTATTAAGGATGTTAAACCCTTCAATTATTTTCATCAAATCATCGATCATGCCCTTTTCAGGGGTTGGAAATAATTGAAGGTTTAACACCCTAAATAAAGAACTACTCGCGGAGAAGATGTTAATAGCATATTCTATGGGTATCAGAGCCTTAAAAAAGATTGCCAATATCTTCTTTTGTTTAATTCCGGTAATTGATCTATTTTATTTATAATAAAGGCTCTTACTTGTGTATTATCTCTTATTACTACAAATTTTACAGTAATAAATGATAATGAAATCTTTTTATTCACAATGCATCATTCTCCTCATCCAACTGATGTATGTAACTTCGCAGCTCTCTTGTCATCTTTAGAGTTTTCACTCTTACAGCCTCCAACCGTTAAGATAACGTCACTTTTTCATCCTTCAGCTATTTGATCTCCTTCTTTAGTTTGTATATTTCTTCTTTCTCTTGAGCCACCTTACTTTCAACATCCTCCTTTTCCATCATCACCTTCTCTATCTGGAACTTTACCATTTTGAGCTCATCCATTGCCACAGTCTTCTCAGCTTGTAATTCTTTATTAAGGGTGTTAAACCCTTCAATTATTTCCATCAAATCCTTGATCATGCCCTTTTCAGCACGT